CCGACTTGGCGTTAATATGTAACGATTTATCCAGTTGTTGCCACATAGATGGCAAGCAAGAGATATTAGTACACATGAATGAACTGGGAATGGTTGATGGGTAATTCAAGATGAGTGTATAACCAAAATCACACAAAATATCGTGTTTTATCAGTGCCCGAACTGCTGAGATTTTTCAGAAAACAGATCCCGGGATTGGGATCGTAATATAAAAATCAATCTGAACAACAAAAAAATTAGATGGTTACATTGTTACCCCCTTAGTGGTGCAATATCCAAACAAATGAAGCTCTATCTCCAGATATGATCTTTAAGCAGTCTGAATCGAAAGATCCACTGAATAAGCACCCGAATAGCAAGCCAGATACAAAGTCGCAATGACTGAACGTTAGCTTACAATGCGCTATAATCTGTTATTTGCAAAGATAATGCTTATTATATGAAACCTAATTGAAGGCCAGAAAATTCGAATGTGCTCGAATAAGACCACGGAATTTGCTGGCGATAAAGCGGCGACGGGTCGATTTAGAAGGCATTGAAACTAGATTCGTTAAAACTGCACGAGGTTCATGGTTAACAACTTTGCTCATCAAAAATCGTAATCCAAATCGAAATTCTCTCACTGAGGATGTGGTACGTTGACACTTATCATCTGTTCAGGTTTCTGAGCTTTTTCCGTTCGAAAATTTATTTGGTCAGAAATTAAAATAACTGATTACGAGCATATGTATAAACGCCTCTGCAATATTTATTTCTTGAATGCTCGAAACGTCTCTCTTGAAGCATTTCACTTTTTGCTCGCTTAATCCAGTGCCTGAGATCATTGTACAAGTTCGGAGAACAGATCTGCAATCATCACGACAGAATTTCTTCAATGATATGAGTTAGTATTGGCCAAAGCAGATAGCCGAATGCTGAATTCGGCGCTTGTCCGAGACTTTCGAAGCAAATTAACGGAATCTTCAGTGACTCCGCCGGTGATCTGCTGGAACGAATGTTTTGGGTTCGGCACAGAATCCCACGATACTTTCAAAAGCCGCTATTACATATCATCTGAAATCTCTGATTGAATTTTGAAGGCTTTACCTATGAAATTAACCTCATTAGTTCCTCTGCCTTATTTCGTGAATTATAATTGAGATATGTTTTTGCGTTTGAGGTCGTCGTTTTCTCGCAACCGAACGGATCTGATTTGGGATGTTATTTACAAAGTGAAGGACTTAATCTGAGGTTAGAATTGCACCAAAACATCCGATTATTTAACTATGGTTCTTTTCTTAACAATAAACGTTCAACAATATTTTTCCAAATGAGATCTCGTAGCCGATGGTACTGATTTCAAATCGGCTAAAAGCGATATGAGAAGTGAAACTAATTCAGGCGATTATCTTCATCTCACTTCAAAATGTTCAAAATTATGCTCTTCTATTGATTTGATTTGATCTGATCTGATCATTGCGCTCAGCCGCTATTTTAAGCTTACAATGCTCATCTAATTTCGTTTAAATTTAATTACTATCACATATGTTAGTGGCTCTCAACATTTTCAGTCAGTCGCCAAATTGAATTAAAACTATAGTCAAATCGCCCACTTTCCATTCCTTATTTAACAATATCCAATAACCGCTCTGAAAACAGTTGATAGATTAAAGACATTGACGATTTTGCACTGCACATTAAGCCTAAGCACGCACATCAAAATGATGCCAAAACGAAGTCAATTACATTTGTTAAGATAAAATTCTACACAGAAAAGGAAGTCAATTGCAACTGCATTTGAAGTCAAGTTAGTTGCAAATACGAAGCCAATTACATTTGTTAAGATAAAATTCCAAAATTCCAATCGAAAACACTACGTGCAAGCGTTCCAATGCGATGAATAGCGCCAGCTGCTTGCAATAACCCGTGAAACCCAAAATCGCCTACCTATACGATTTTTCATCAGATCCCTTCATTCACTCATTGTTCCCACCAGGTGTTGGGCAATATAGCCCAGGTTGAACACCTTTAATCAAGAATAATCAAAGAATCCTAATCTCTTAACGCTAAATATCTCGATCACATGTCGTGGCCTGCTCAAAATTAGAGAGAGCAATTAGAGATCAAGTAATCTGGAGCATCCCTCATAATTCTGATGGTATCTTTCGAAAAAAAAAACTCGAAAATCAAATTCTTATTTTAATTCCTCCAGATGGCTATCGGATGAACTCGATGTTGATGTGTATGCTTATGATTATTCTGGCTTCGGTACGAGTACAGGTCACGCTTCCGAAAAGAATATTTACTCTGACATTGAGGCCGTTTACAATCATATTCTGGTCACTCGTGGTGCAGATATTCGTGTAGGTTGCATATTCATCGAGCACATACTTATCCTGCGCTCATCGACTATAAGTTAAATCATTTCTGAGATATCTCATTACATAACACATCATGCGTACGAAACTTTCATCGAATAATCATGCTTAAATTCTTTAGTTTAGTTTAAGCAAGCAAAAATTTTGGATTTAAGGAAAACTTCTAAACGAAAGAAAAAGTTTCGAAATGTAGAGATTCTCTACATTTCGTATTCTGGCGTGAGCATAATGCCCCCAGAAAATTTCATTTGAGTGGACGAAATCCGTGATCGAAAGAGACATTGAAATTTTGACTAATCATCTTTTTTTTTGAATTTCTTGCAGATTGTTTTGCTTGGATTCAGCATAGGAACAGCGCCGACA